TGATAAGAGGGCTGTTTGGCTATTAAGGAGCTTAGTAACTAAATTCTTCTTTGAACCACATACTCCTCCACCAAAAAACAGCTTCCAACCTTCAAACATCCCCTGCTGAACTTCCCTGGCCAAGGGCTGTGCAGGAGTTAATTAAAGGCTTTAGGCCATGAAAGCCATTCAGTTCTCCATAGAGCCAGGCTTTCCTGTTACTCAAGTCTTGTCTGCTTATTTATTCTTGGGAGGTGGTTGGTTGTGAAGGAAGTGAGTGGTAACAAATGTAGATAGTCTTCCGAATGTAGATATTCCTCAGACTGAAGTTTGGCCTGAGTCTTGTGCCACATCTGTGTCCTACCCTCATACATGCTCATAATCTTTATCATTACCATTCCAGCAATGTGTCTTTCTAGAGAACCTGGGCTACCTTTCCTCTCTCCGGGAAGCTCACATTTACTAAAACTGGCATAGTGCCTAAGGCTTACATGAAATACCTAGAATAGGCAAATATACACAGACAAAGGTTTATTAATGGATACCAGGGCTAGGAGAGGGGGAAGGAGGACTCATTGCTTAAGGAACACTGAGGTTCTGATCTAAGGGTAAAGGGAAGATCTGAGAACATACAAGGGTGATGGATGAACAAGATGAACGTAATTAATGTCACTGAACTCTACATGTGAAGCTTACTGATGTGTCAAGTTTTATTACATATTCGTTGTTGTTAGGTGCTGTCAAATTGTCTCCGACTCATAGTGACCCAATCAATACACAGCAGAATGAAACACCGCCCAGTCCTGTGCCAGGATGGATGAACATCGACCAATTCTTTTTGCATGATCCCTGCTATACTTGAGCCCATCACCACAGCCACTGTGTCAGTCCATCTTGTTGAGGGCCTTCCCCTCTTTTGTCAGCCTTCCACCTTACCAAACCTGATATCTTTCTCCAGGGAATGGTCCCTTCTGACAACATGACCAAAGTAGGTGAGATGAAGTCTGGCCATTCTTACTTCTAAGGAACAGTCTGGCTGCACTTCCTCCAGGACAGATTTGTTAGTTCTTTTAGCA